CCGTTGTGAACTACCATTACGTCGACGACTTTGTGGATAGTTTCGACACGCCAGGGGAGGCTATCGACGTCGCTCATAAGGTGAAGGTGATTCATCAGGAAGCTGGATTCGAGATCCGCAACTTTACGTCAAATTGTTCAGAAGTGGTTGCGGCCTTGGATGGAATCGATGTCACTAAAGTTCTGAACGAGAAGGAAGGTGTAACTTCTGAAAGGGTACTCGGTCTATTTTGGCATCCTGCCACATATTGCTTCAACTTCAATCTGAAATTCAACAACGTCAGCGAAACTGTGCTAAGGGGTATCAGGCGCCCCACCAAGAGAGAGTTACTCAGTGTAGTCATGTCGGTATTCGATCCACTCGGTTTCCTATCTCATTTCGTCATTGGCGCTAAGCTCCTGTTAAGGGAGGTGTGGCGACATGAGGCTAGTTGGGACGAGCCACTGTGTGACGACATCGCCGAAATGTGGGAGAAGTGGCGCAAAAAATTGCCGAACTTGACCAAATTTGCCGTACCAAGGTTTTATTTCCGCAATGGTAAGCCAGAGAAGTTGCAACTTCATGTTTTCGCGGATGCCAGCGAGAACGCGTTTGCCGCCGTCGCATACTGGAGGGCCATTAATTGCCGCGACGAATTTGAAGTTACACTCATTTGCGCGAAGTCCAAGTGCGCACCATTGAAGCCCCTTACTGTGCCGCGATTGGAGTTGCAGGCAGCCGTCTTAGGATCACGCTTGATGCAGACTATACGCGAAGAGCATGACGTCAAGATCGACGAGACGTTCTTATGGAGCGACTCTAAGACTTTCATTAAGTGGCTCCAAAGCAAGCAGCGGAGATACAAACCCTTTGTTCAGCACAGGGTTGCCGAAATCTTAGCCACTACGAACGTATCCAACTGGAGATGGATACCCACCACAGAAAATGTCGCCGACGAGGCTACACGCTTCAACCACAAAATCGAGTTTGGCCTAACTGCTCGTTGGACACTTGGACCGTCATTTTTACATGAGGATGAAGATGGCACCAATGTTGAGCACGAAGATGTTGATGACGAGCTTAG